TCAGAGGGCTAGATTTACGAATGAAAGTTGGAATAGTGCGTTACTCGAAGAAGGTAAGATTGGGTTAATAGACAAGCCCAATATACTAATTTGAGAATTTTTTTATTTGCAAAATTTTAGAATATTAAAATTCGAAGACATTTCAATAACTTCAGTGAAGAAATATTTAATGTATTGAAATTTTGAATGATATGGCTCTGATAGCAAAGTAGACGATGTTTTTTTTTTTTTTATTGACGCCTTTTTATGGGGTTGGAGGCAGGAGACGACCCCTCCCTTTGATCGGGAGAGATTGTCCTGAGTTAAGAGATTTTTCTTTGGTCGATTAAGACGTTTTGTATTCTGGCTCCGTGAGCAACTAATTTAGTTTGCCACGTAAAGTAACGTGTTATCTCGAATATTCAACTTACAGTGTCGAATTATTTTCTTTAATATAGTTAATAATATTTATTTAACTTTAATTGCTATATATCTAATTTTATTTCAGGATGGGAAGAAGGGATAATGAGTTTTTCGTTTCAGACGACTCTGTACAGAAGATTTTTTATTAACTCCGGTAGAATTCCGAAGCTAAACTTGAGAAAAGTTATACAGTGATATAAGAGACCCGGATATAAGAGAAACCCGGATATAAGAGAGATTTTCTCTGGTCCCAAAGTGTTCCCATACTTACCTAAACAAAATAGACCAAACCAGGATATAAGAGAAACCCGGATATAAGAGACTTCGTCTCCGGTCCCGACAACTCTCTTATATCCGGGTTACTCTGTATTTTATTTTGATTTGACTTATAAGGCCTATTGAGGTAATGACGCAAATATAGACCTTTGTTAAAGATAACAAATGTACTTGGCGGCTTTTGGAGATTTGTTTCAACTTTGTCTAAGAAGAGACATTTATTTGGAAGAGGTGTTTTTATTCCCAAGAAGAGGAATTATTGCCTTTGATTTGTTTGTATTGTTGACTCGGATAGTCAACGTTTTATTTGACAGAGTCGTTCGATGCGGGGAAGACTGCCTCATTCCCGTTCTCTATTTCAAATGAGATTTAAAATATTCTAAATAGATATTTATTTAAAAATTTGATCTTAGCCTAGGTTAGGCGTTGTGTTTTCTAATTTTCGCTTTCAGCTCCCAAGAAAGAGAAAAAGAATTTCTGAAGAAGAAAAAGAAATGTATTTGAAGAAAAAAGAAAGATAAAAGAAAATTGTAGAAGAAAGAAGATAAGAGAATCTGAAGAAATTGACCATTAAGAAAAGATTTTAAAACAATTTTTTCATTGTAAAAGAAAAGGTTGAAAAAAGAAAAGATGATACATTTACTCACTGACAAAATTATTTAAATGTAAGTAAATAAATCCCTTTGTTTATCATTATGTTTTGTTACTATTTGGCATATGGAACAACATGCATTGAAATTTGGTTTTATTGAAATAAATGTTTTATCTGTGAATATTTTGGTTTTATCTACTAAATTTAAAATCGTCTGCTTCTTTGAGTTGTTTTACTTATACTTTCCTATGAAGAAGCGGGAAGCCGAGAACAAAATCGCCTGTATAGTCTTGTGTCTTAATTTATATTTATTTACAAATTAAATATATTAATTTAGTACTACATTAATTTTTTCTTCACTAATTACTAATTTTTTCTTGATTTTCCCTGCTGAAATTAGGGTGCCTCTTATACAGCCTGACGTCAAATGATGCGGTAATTAAATTTTCCAGCAGAGTTACTCACTTTTTACAATTTGAAAGCTCAAAACGTTGTCGTCATACAACCATATGCCAGCTTAAATAAATAAATGGAGGCAGTATAAACGCTGAAGTGCGGTACCTACCACGTTGAAGAAACTAGACCTTTGAAAGAAAAAAGCTTTAAATATTTAAATATGGAAATCTGAATAAATAATTTTGAATTTATTCCACTGGAAGAAAAAAAAAAAAAGGTGGGGAAAACGAGGGTGGGAAGAAAAGAATAAAAGATTAAATACAGCGTGATTAAAAAGTAACTGTAGAGTACCTGGGGTAAAAGAAAACACGTGCATTTAAATTTCCCGTGAGAAGAAGGTCCTGCTACAAGAGAATTTTGGACTTGAAGTAAGTCCAACTGAAGATTATAGGATACAAATCCTATATTCCAACAAATGACTAAAAAAAACACAAAGTAGATTTGGACACCCGCAAAATCGGATCAAAACGACCAAAAACAGATTTCACAATAAGGTGTGAAATTAATTTTCTGACCAATGAAAGGAGGCGATTTGCTAAACCAAAAAAAAAAAAAATATAACGAGCCAGTGTGAAAAAAAAGTCAACAATAAATACAGAGTTTTCAAGTCAGTCAGTCGCCAGTCAGTTAGTCAGAGAAGGGCACAAAGATCACAGAAGATTGACAGTAAAATTCATCACTGACTCAACCCGACACTAAGGACAACAACAACAACAACAAATTTACAACTGACTCCAAAACAATTCATAAGTACATTTTCCTTTTATCTTTATTCTTTCACACTCTTTTTCAACTTAAATTGCTCACCCCTTTTTCATTTTTACAACTATACAAAAACAAAAGAAACAGACATTATTCTGCTACTCTGTTAAAAGACAGCGAACACAGACATTTTTATAAAAATCACATTTTTGCTTAAACGAACTAAAGCATTAATCTTTTTTACCCTATTCACAAGATAATAAATATACAATGTTCTATTTTCTACAAACGTTCCTTATCGTGTTGTTTCTTCTTGAAATTTGCGTTGTATTTTGAGGGCAGGGTTTCCCCGTATTAAATTCTCCTTTAATCCGGGTACACTGAACCCCACAAGATAAAGAAGACAAGCAAACAAGACCAATACATATATAAACAAATATATATATTAACAACAAAATACAAAGCACATAGACAGTTAACATTGTGTTTGTGTGTGAATATTTGTTCTTTGGTGAATGTTCATATTTTGAAAATGTTCTGTATGTTGTAATGTAGGTTGGAAAAGTTTGTAAGAGTTCGCACGTATGTGAAGCCATGGAATATTATTTAATGTCTGACTGCATGGTCAAGACGATAATTCTCTGGGACTACATTTTGCAGCAAAAAGAGAGAAAAAAGAGAAAAAGAATCACGTGACAGGCTCAAAAGAACTTGGTGGGAAAATTTACTTAGTCACATGCTGGAAAAAATATATTGTGCGTGGGTGGGTTGCAATGCCCATTTGTGTGTTTATTGACCAATTAAAAGCTGATATTTCCTGAAAATATTTACTAAGCTGAGAAGGCTCTTGGGATACGATTCTCCCAAAAGTGCCCAAAATCGATTACATGAAAATAGAGTGATTATAAAATTGTTGCATAGCTGTGATTTATAAATTGTTTATTACACAGCAGTGTTGATTTATTATCCAATGAATGCTTGTTGTATAATTTTAATTTGCATAAGTATGTATGTATGTATGTGTGTGATGATGATGATCATTATATAACTCCTCACTTTGTGTATGATGGACTCTCCTGTCTAATGAATTTTTACAAGATGGCTGAGTTCATTATACATAAAACAAGACACCACACTTCAATCCTTTTTTAGTTGAGTAATTGTATTTTGGCAATTAATTATTGATGTATAAATATTTCATAAGAAAATGGTTTGGTTTGGTTTGTTTGATGACATATCAAACTCGATGTGATATTTAATACTGACAAGATTTTTATTGCTGGTAATATTTTTTGTTTCAAAAATGTATTGCTGGTAATAATTTTTCCAAAAACGTATCGCTATTAAAACATATTTTTATATTTTCATAGTGTTTTGACCCTTTTTTTGGAGGGGTTAACTATTTGCCCATAGCTGGGATCCTGACAGATGCCACTACCCCAGGTCAGGGTGGACCTAGGAACATCAGCAATTAAAACTTTCTCAAAACCTTCTGATCAAAGGCCTTGTTGTTCAATGTAGCTTATTGTTTAACTCAGGACATGGATATATTTTATCGTCATACCCAGGACATCCTCAGCAGAAACATAATTACCATGTCGTGCGACATCTTGGAGCAAGGGGGAGAGAGGGATTCAGAAAGGAAAATATTTATCTTTATAGACATAATCCAGTGCTGTCTAACAGCGTTTGACGACACAAAGTGGGGTAATCATATTTCTGGTTTCTTTACTTCTTATCATTGTGAGAAGATGGATTTATTTTATTTTATTTTATATTATTCATTTTTACTATTTTATAGGAGCAATGGTAAAGTAATGGATAGGAGCTTGAATTGGGAAATTGGTGAGCCGAGTTCATACTCCAGTCAGATCCATTACACTCACGTGCTAATACCTTTGGGAAAAGTATGAATCTTTTTCTTCTCCCTCCAGCTATAGGTAAATAGCAGGACAGACTGGGTTCTATAGCCTTGGATGGCAACTGGTCTACTACAGAAATAAATGGCAACCTAGTGCAAAAAAAAAAATCTGCCTCGTCAGTCATGTCTCTTTCGATACATGATTGCCTAAGCATGTATCACACATGGCACATAACTGACTGATATTCACATATGTACAAATACACTTGGGAAAGGTATGAATCCTCCTTTTCTCCCCCCAGCTATGGGTAAATAGCAGGACAGATCAGGTTCTATAGCCTTGGATGGCAACTGGTCTACAGCAGATAGAAATAGCAACCTACTGTGGGAAAAAATCTGCCTCGTCAGTCATGTGTTAATAACATTGGGAAAAGTATGTCTCCTCTTATTTTGTAAATAGCAGGATAGACCGGGATATATAGCCTTGGATAGCAACTGGTCTACTGCAGACAAAGATGGCAGCCTACTGTGCGAAGGAATCTATATGGTGATCAGCTGAAAAACAAGGCAATAAATGTGGTGTGGTTGCTAAGTAACCAACATGATGGTATCTGCCGGCATAGGGGTGTTTCCACGAACAAATGTTAAAAGATTAACATACAAGAACAATGTAAATGAATAAATTAACAAAGCAACAAGAATGAATTTCAACTAAGCAATTGGTTGGCAAGAGAGAAGGATTGGATAATTTCCTGCCCATTCAGAGCAAAGGCAAAAAAAGAAGGGGAAAGGAAAGAAAGAACAAATGAAAAGAAAATAAGGAAGAGGTGAAAAGAAAATAAGGAAATGGGGAAAAGGAAAGAAAGAAGAGGGGGGAAAAGTAAAGAAATAAGAGGTGAAAAGTAAAGAAGGGAGTGGGGAAAAGAAAAGAAAGAAGAGGTGTAAAGGAAAGAAAGAAGAGGTGAAAAGGAAAGAAAGAATAGGTGAAAAGTAAAGGGAGTGGGGAAAATAAAAGAAAGAAGAGGTGTAAAGGAAAGAAAGAAGAGGTGAAAAGGAGAGAAGGAAGAAGTGAAAAAGAAAGAAAGAAGAGGTGAAAAGTAAAGAAGAGAGTGGGGAAAAGAAAAGAAAGAAGAGGTGAAAAGGAAACTGCAGGAGTGGGAAAAAGAAAAGAAAGAAGAGGTGAAAAGGAAAGAAAGAAGAGGTGAAAAGTAAAGAAGGGAGTGGGGAAAAGAAACGAAAGAAGAGGTGAAAAGGAAAGAAAAAAGAGGTGTAAAGGAAAGAAAGAGGGGAAAAGGAAAGAAAGAAGAGGTGAAAAGGAGAGAAGGAAGAGGTGAAAAGGAATAAAAAGAAGAGGTGAAAAGTAAAGAAGAGAGTGGGGAAAAGAAAAGAAAGAAGAGGTGAAAAGGAAAGAAAGAAGAGGTGAAAAGTAAAGAAGGGAGTGGGGAAAAGAAAAGTAAGAAGAGGTGAAAAGAAAAGAAGAGAGGGGAAAAGAAAAGAAAGAAGAGGTGAAAAGGAAAGAAAGAAGAGGTGAAAAGAAAAGAAGAGAGTGGGGAAAAGAAAAGAAAGAAGAAGTGAAAAGGAAAGAAAGAAGAGGTGAAAAGAAAAGAAGAGAGTGGGGAAAAGAAAAGAAAGAAGAGGTGAAATGGAAAGAAAGAAGAGGTGAAAAGGAAAGAAAGAAGAGTTGAAAAGTAAAGAAGAGTGTGGGGAAAAGAAAAGAAAGAAGAGGTGAAAAGGAAAGAAAGAAGAGGTGAAAAGGAAAGAAAGAAGAGGTGAAAAGTAAAGAAGAGAGTTTGGAAAAGAAAAGAAAGAGGAGGTGAAAAGGAAAGAAAGAAGAGGTGAAAAGGAAAGAAAGAAGAGGTGAAAAGTAAAGAAGAGTGTGGGGAAAAGAAAAGAAAGAAGAGGTGAAAAGGAAAGAAAGAAGAGGTGAAAAGTAAAGAAAAGAGTGGGGAAAAGAAAAGAAAGAAGAGGTGAAAAGGAAAGAAAGAAGAGGTGAAAAGGAAAGAAAGAAGAGTTGAAAAGTAAAGAAGAGAGTGGGGAAAAGAAAAGAAAGAAGAGGTGAAAAGGAAAGAAAGAAGAGGTGAAAAAAGAAAAAGAAGAGAGTGGGGGAAAAGAAAAGAAAGAAGAAGTGAAAAGGAAAGAAAGAAGAGGTGAAAAAGAAGGAAAGAAAGAGAGGGGGAAAAGAAAAGAAAGAAGAGGTGAAAAGGAAAGAAAGAAGAGGTGAAAAGGAAAGAAAGAAGAGGTGAAAAGTAAAGAAAGAGGGGAAAAGAAAAGAAAGAAGAGGTGAAAAGGAAAGAAGAGAAGGGGGGGAAAAGAAAAGAAAGAAGAGGTGAAATGGAAAGAAAGAAGAGGTGAAAAGTAAAGAAGAGGGGGAAAAGAAAAAGAAAGAAGAAAAAAAGGAAAGAAAGAGGGGGAAAGGAAAGAAAGAGGGGGAAAGGAAAGAAAGAAGAGGTGAAAAGTAAAGAAGAGAGTGGGGGGAAGAAAAGAAAGAAGAGGTGAAAAGTAAAGAAGAGAGGGTAAAAAAGAAAAGAAAGAAGAGGTGAAAAGTAAAGAAGAGAGTGGGGAAAAGTAAAGAAGAGTGTGGGGAAAAGAAAAGAAAGAAGAGGTGAAAAGTAAAGAAGAGTGTGGGGAAAAGAAAAGAAAGAAGAGGTGAAATGGAAAGAAAGAAGAGGTGAAAAGTAAAGAAGAAAGTGGGGAAAGGAAAACAAAGAAGAGGTGAAAAGAAAAGAAAGAGAGGGGAAAAGAAAAGAAAGAAGAGGTGAAATGGAAAAAGAAAGAAGAGGTGAAAAGAAAAAAGAAGACAGGGGAAAAGAAAAGAAAGAAGAGGTGAAATGGAAAGAAAGAAGAGGTGAAAAGTAAAGAAGAGAGGGGAAAAGAAAAGAAATATGAGCTGAAAAGTAAAAGAAGAGTGGGGAAAAGAAAGAAAGAAGAGGTGAAATGGAAAGAAAGAAGAGGTGAAAAGTAAAGAAGAGGGGAAAAAAGAAAAGAAAGAAGAGGTGAAAAGGAAAGAAAGAAGAGGTGAAAAGTGAAAAGAAGAGAGAGGGGAAAAGAAAAGAAAGAAGAGGTGAAAAGAAAAGAAGAGAGGGGAAAAGAAAAGAAAGAAGCGGTGAAAAGAAAAGAAAGAAGAGGTGAAAAGTAAAGAAGAGAGTGGGGAAAAGAAAAGAAAGAAGAGGTGAAAAGGAAAGAAAAAGAGGTGAAAAGTAAAGAAGAGAGAAAGAAAAAAGAAAGAAAGAAGAGGTGAAAAGGAAAGAAAGAAGAGGTGAAAAGGAAAGAAAGAAGAGGTGAAAAGTAAAAGAAGAGAGGGGAAAAAGAAAAGAAAGAAGAGGTGAAATGGAAAGAAAGAAGAGGTGAAAAGTAAAAAGAGGTGGGGAAAAGAAAAAAAGAAGAGGTGAAAAGGAAAAAAGAAAGAAGAGGTGAAAACAAAAAGAAGAGTGTGGGGAAAAGAAAAGAAAGAAAAGGTGAAAAGGAAAGAAAGAAGAGTTGAAAAGTAAAAGAAGAGAGTGGGGAAAAAGAAAAGAAAGATGAGGTGAAAAGGAAAGAATGATGAGGTGAAAAAAAAAGAAGAGAAAGGGGAAAAAGAAAAGAAAGAAGAGGTGAAAAGGAAAGAAAGAAGAGGTGAAAAGTAAAGAAGAGAGTGGGAAAAAGAAAAAGAAAGAAGAGGTGAAAAGGAAAGAAGGAAGAGGTGAAAAGGAAAGAAAGAAGAGGTGAAAAAAGAAGAGAGTTTGGAAAAAGAAAAAGAAAGAAGAAAAAAAAAGGAAAGAAAGAAGAGGTGAAAAGGAAAGAAGAGAGTGGGGAAAAGAAAAGAAAGAAGAGGTGAAAAGGAAAGAAAGAAGAGGTGAAAAGGAAAGAAAGAAGAGTTGAAAAGTAAAGAAGAGTGTGGGGAAAAGAAAAGAAAGAAGAGGTCAAAAGGAAAGAAAGAAGAGGTGAAAAGGAAAGAAAGAAGAGTTGAAAAGTAAAGAAGAGAGTTTGGAAAAGAAAAGAAAGAAGAGGTGAAAAGGAAAGAAAGAAGAGGTGAAAAGGAAAGAAAGAAGAGTTGAAAAGTAAAGAAGAGAGTGGGGAAAAGAAAAGAAAGATGAGGTGAAAAGGAAAGAAAGAAGAGGTGAAAAGTAAAGAAGAGAGTGGGGAAAAGATAAGAAAGAAGAGGTGAAAAGGAAAGAAAGAAGAGGTGAAAAGAAAAAGAAGAGAGGGGAAAAGAAAAGAAAGAAGAGGAAAAAAAGGAAAGAAAGAAAGGTGAAAAGTAAAGAAGAGAGGGGAAAAGAAAAGAAAGAAGAGGTGAAAAGGAAAAAAAGAAGAGGTGAAAAGGAAAGAAAGAAGAGGTGAAAAGTAAAGAAGAGAGTTTGGAAAAGAAAAAGAAAGAAGAGGTGAAAAGGAAAGAAAGAAGAGGTGAAAAGGAAAGAAAGAAGAGGTGAAAAGTAAAGAAGAGAGTGGGGAAAAGAAAAGAAAGAAGAGGTGAAAAGGAAAGAAGAGAGTGGGGAAAAGAAAAGAAAGAAGAGGTGAAATGGAAAGAAAGAAGAGGTGAAAAGTAAAGAAGAGTGTGGGGAAAAGAAAAGAAAGAAGAGGTGAAAAGGAAAGAAAGAAGAGGTGAAAAGGAAAGAAAGAAGAGGTGAAAAGTAAAGAAGAGAGTGGGGAAAAGAAAAGAAAGAAGAGGTGAAAAGTAAAGAAGAGAGTGGGGAAAAGAAAAGAAAGAAGAGGTGAAAAGCAAAAAGAAGAGAGGGGAAAAAGTGAAAAGAAGAGTGGGGAAAAGAAAAGAAAGAAGAGGTGAAAAGAAAAGAAGAGAGTGGGGAAAAGAAAAGAAAGAAGAGGTGAAAAGTAAAGAAGGTGGAAAAAGAAAAGAAAGAAGAGGTGAAATGGAAAGAAAGAAGAGGTGAAAAGAAAGAAAAGAAGAGGGGAAAAGAAAAGAAAGAAGAGGTGAAAAGAAAAGAAGAGAGTGGGGAAAGAAAAGAAAGAAGGTGAAAAGGAAAGAAAGAAGAGGTGAAAAGAAAAAGAAGAGAGTGGGGAAAAGAAAAGAAAGAAGAAGTTAAAAGGAAAGAAAGAAGAGGTGAAAAGAAAAGAAGAGAGTGGGGAAAAAGAAAAGAAAGAAGAGGTGAAATGGAAAGAAAGAAGAGGTGAAAAGGAAAGAAAGAAGAGTTGAAAAGTAAAGAAGAGTGTGGGGAAAAGGAAAGAAAGAAGAGGTGAAAAGGAAAGAAAGAAGAGGTGAAAAGTAAAGAAGAGAGTTTGGAAAAGAAAAGAAAGAAGAGGTGAAAAGGAAAGAAAGAAGAGGTGAAAAGGAAAGAAAGAAGAGGTGAAAAGTAAAGAAGAGAGTGGGGAAAAGAAAAGAAAGAAGAGGTGAAAAGGAAAGAAAGAAGAGGTGAAAAGTAAAGAAGAGAGTGGGGAAAAGAAAAGAAAGAAGCGGTGAAAAGGAAAGAAAGAAGAGGTGAAAAGGAAAGAAAGAAGAGTTGAAAAGTAAAGAAGAGAGTGGGGAAAAGAAAAGAAAGAGGAGGTGAAAAGGAAAGAAAGAAGATGTGAAAAGTAAAGAAGAGAGTGGGGAAAAGAAAAGAAAGAAGAGGTGAAAAGGAAAGAAAGAAGAGGTGAAAAGTAAAGAAGAGAGTGGGGAAAAGAAAAGAAAGAAGAGGTGAAAAGGAAAGAAAGAAGAGGTGAAAAGGAAAGAAAGAAGAGGTGAAAAGTAAAGAAGAGAGTTTGGAAAAGAAAAGAAAGAAGAGGTGAAAAGGAAAGAAAGAAGAGGTGAAAAGGAAAGAAAGAAGAGGTGAAAAGTAAAGAAGAGAGTGGGGAAAAGAAAAGAAAGAAGAGGTGAAATGGAAAGAAAGAAGAGGTGAAAAGTAAAGAAGAGTGTGGGGAAAAGATAAGAAAGAAGAGGTGAAAAGGAAAGAAAGAAGAGGTGAAAAGGAAAGAAAGAAGAGGTGAAAAGGAAAGAAAGAAGAGGTGAAAAGTAAAGAAGAGAGTGGGGAAAAGAAAAGAAAGAAGAGGTGAAAAGTAAAGAAGAGAGTGGGGAAAAGAAAAGAAAGAAGAGGTGAAAAGTAAAGAAGAGAGTGGGGAAAAGTAAAGAAGAGTGTGGGGAAAAGAAAAGAAAGAAGAGGTGAAAAGAAAAGAAGAGAGTGGGGAAAAGAAAAGAAAGAAGAGGTGAAAAGTAAAGAAGACAGTGGGGAAAAGAAAAGAAAGAAGAGGTGAAATGGAAAGAAAGAAGAGGTGAAAAGTAAAGAAGAGAGTGGGGAAAAGAAAAGAAATATGAGCTGAAAAGTAAAGAAGAGAGTGGGGAAAAGAAAAGAAAGAAGAGGTGAAATGGAAAGAAAGAAGAGGTGAAAAGTAAAGAAGAGTGTGGGGAAAAGAAAAGAAAGAAGAGGTGAAAAGGAAAGAAAGAAGAGGTGAAAAGTAAAGAAGAGAGTGGGGAAAAGAAAAGTAAGAAGAGGTGAAAAGAAAAGAAGAGAGTGGGGAAAAGAAAAGAAAGAAGCGGTGAAAAGGAAAGAAAGAAGAGGTGAAAAGTAAAGAAGAGAGTGGGGAAAAGAAAAGAAAGAAGAGGTGAAAAGGAAAGAAAAAAGAGGTGAAAATAAAGAAGAGAGTGGGGAAAAGAAAAGAAAGAAGAGGTGAAAAGGAAAGAAAGAAGAGGTGAAAAGGAAAGAAAGAAGAGGTGAAAAGTAAAGAAGAGAGTGGGGAAAAGAAAAGAAAGAAGAGGTGAAATGGGAAGAAAGAAGAGGTGAAAAGTAAAGAAGAGAGTGGGGAAAAGAAAAGAAAGAAGAGGTGAAATGGAAAGAAAGAAGAGGTGAAAAGGAAAGAAGAGAGTGGGGAAAAGAAAAGAAAGAAGAGGTGAAAAGTAAAGAAGAGAGTGGGGAAAAGAAAAGAAAGAAGAGGTGAAATGGAAAGAAAGAAGAGGTGAAAAGGAAAGAAGAGAGTGGGGAAAAGAAAAGAAAGAAGAGGTGAAAAGTAAAGAAGAGAGTGGGGAAAAGAAAAGAAAGAAGAGGTGAAATGGAAAGAAAGAAGAGGTGAAAAGGAAAGAAGAGAGTGCGGAAAAGAAAAGAAAGAAGAGGTGAAAAGGAAAGAAAAAAGGGGTGTAAAGGAAAGAAAGAAGAGGTGAAAAGGAAAGAAAAAAGAGGTGAAAAGGAAAGAAAGAAGAGGTGAAAAGGAGAGAAGGAAGAGGTGAAAAGAAAAGAAAGTAGAGGTGAAAAGTAAAGAAGCGTGGTGAAATGAAAAGAAAGAAGAGGTGTAAAGGAAAGAAAAAGGTGAAAAGAAAAGAAAGAAGAGGGGAAAAGGAAAGAAAGAAGAGGTGAAAAGGAAAGAAAAAAGAGGTGAAAAGGAAAGAAAGAAGAGGTGAAAAGGAAAGAAAGAAGAGGTGAAAAGGAGAGAAGGAAGTGGTGAAAAGAAAAGAAAGAAGAGGTGAAAAGTAAAGAAGAGTGGGGAAAAGAAAAGAAAGGAGAGGTGAAAAGAAAAGAAAGAAGAGGGGAAAAGGAAAGAAAGAAGAGGTGAAAAGGAAAGAAAAAAGAGGTGAAAAGGAAAGAAGGGAATGGGGAAAAGAAAAGAAAGAAGAGGTGAAAAGGAGAGAAAGAAGAGGGGAAAAGAAAAGAAAAAAGATGCGAAAATAAAAGAAAGAAGAGGTGAAAAGGAAAGAAAGAAGAGATGAAATGGAGAGAAGGAAGAGGTGAAAATAAAAGAAAGAAGAGGGGAAAAGGAAATAAGGAAGAGGGGAAAAGTAAAGAGAGCAAAACAAACAAACTACTTCACTGTAATGGTGGAAGTTAATTCTACTTCCTTTGGGCAACTCTTCTGGTCAAGGAGGCATCAATACTGTCATAATGACAGGATCGCTCATGTGGACCCTTTGTGGCCTGCTCTAAAATGGCAACCGCTCTGTGGGCTGCTATAAAGTGGCAACTCCAATGTGGGCTGCTGCAGGAAAACCTGCATTATGTTTGTCCAGCACTTAGACAAGATACTGTATCGTTGACTGATTTGGCCCGTGTGGGCGTAAATCCCCTAAAGAAATGAGACACAGAATTACTACCAGCAATGCTGGATTTAGCACAAATGAGGCCCTGTGCTAGTTAAGGTATCAAGCCCCTTACTTGGGCCCTGAAAGAGGTAGATCTGGCATACCTACACAGGCATGGAAGGAAGATAGGGTTCCCCTGGCCAATGTGGCCTTGTGCTTGATCACACCTAAGCACACGAGCGCTGGCTACTACAAATCTGGCACTCGATACCAGAACAAATGAATCAACATGACCTTAGTTCTGACAAGGAATAAGCACCTAAATAACGAATTCACTCTGAAACACACCACTATTTTAAATTTAGATGCAGAGTGGCTTACAAATAAAAAAAAAATACATAAACACTTCAAGTTGAAGGTTTATATTTTAGAGACAAGTAGGCAAGACAAAGCCAGAACTGCAGGCTCAGATGAGAATGTCAGAGGTGCCTATCGACTGTGAACCACAACAGCATCTCAAAGGAACTGCAGTAGAATGACCTTGTACCCTACAAATATCCAGGGAGGGGGTGAAAGGGGTAGATTGGAATGGAGAATATAGTATGGATTATATCCCTTTATAAGTATTCCGTTTTTAAATAACTCCAGCTCAGACTCAGTCCATTCTAAGCCGAATAAAGCTTCAGATAATTACACCTGCATTCGTCGTCTAACTACAATATGTTTTCTTTTTCTCACTAAAATCAAACAGCCTCAGAAACCAAATGGAAAATATCTATCTTTTAATTCCGTCTTTCCTCGAGAAAAAAAACGGAATACAAGTTTATTAACATACTAACAGCTAAGCACACTAAAAAGCGAAATAAGCAATATTAGATGAAGTTCATGACCCAAGGGAAATAACTCTTACTAGTCTTACTAAACCTTAACGTCTGATTGGATTATTTCCCTTGTATAATCTCTATAAAAGGCAGGGTGTGTGTGTGTGTGTGTGTGTGTGTGTGCGTGCGCGTGCGTGCGTGTGTGTGTAACGAATGCACGGCCACAATTTTCGACGGATTTGCACCAAAATTTACATGCTCATGCTCCAAGTTAGCGGGAAGGCCAAGACCACTTTTGCATTTCCCAACTCCCATCGATAGTTGAAATAATCGATTTTTTTCATGCTTCTATGGCAGTTTTCATGTAGTTTACATCATTTTCTACTGGCCAGAGTGAGAGCTTCATAGCTGGCTGCCACGAATAGGCAGGAAGATTCTATTGGTCAGCGTGAGAGTCAACAGCTGACTGATACGAATGTTAACTAGCATGCTAGCATGCAAAAAATCAATAGCTGCATTCGCCACAAGTAAAAAAAATTTAAATCTGCATGGCACTTTACTCCAATTGGTTATTCGCTGTTTAAACTCAACGTTGATTCTGATTCCGCAGAATTGGGCTGAGGTGAAAAGTATTTGATGTTAACATTCTTTTTCATTCAGTTTTTCCAGTTACGAGTCCTTTTTTAAAGCTGGTCGTTTTGTGTTCATTTTGTTTAGTTCTTTTTCGTAACAGATTTAATGTTTAGTATAGAGCTTAGAAAAAATTTGCAGTGTGAGATAGGCAAGAAGTAAGGCATGTAGCAACATCAGCATGACAAAGGCCACTCCCTTAAAGGCAAGGAAGGGCAAAAATATCTTAAATCAAGTGATAGTGATTGCTGTATGTGTTGTACGATTTTTGAATCAAGCATGGGCAACGCCAGACCATGCTGCTAGTCAATTGCAAATTGATTGTAATTTTTGCAAAAATTAAACATTGACTAAGACTATTAACTACAACAACAGGAAAAACGCAATAATAATAATAATAATAATAATGAATTATTATTCGGAATTTTAAGAGAAATAAACTTTTTTGAAGATCTGAAAAATTTATTTCATTTAACAGATGAGACACAACTATTTCCATTTTTTACATATTATCTTTTTAATCATTTCACCCCAGGCAAGGCAATAAAGTCACTAAGCCACAAGGGGGTTACTGAGTGTTAGAAAATATGAGAAAAAAAACATTAAGAAAACAGGACTAAAAAAGAATAAGAATTAAGAAGACAAACGATAACAATTGACATTGCATTTAAATTTTTGAAGATTATAATTGAATGAGAAGTAAAACGTCAGAAGAGAGTTCCACAAGCAAAAAGGTTAATAGAAGAAACTGTTATCATAGGACTTATGGTTACATCTAGCCATTTCAACTGTAAAATGATGAGACCTAGCTGCCAATCTAGTACTGTACATAAATTCATAAAGTCTAGGCACCATAGAGGAAACTGATACTTATTCTTGTATTTTACAAGAAATGTGTCACAAAGTTAAAAGTGGGGATGGGGAAAGGCAGGTCTTCAAATTGTCTTATCTTTAATTTAGCCATGATTACTGACCCAAACATACCACAGTATTCCTTACACCAAAACAACACATTCTTACTTATGATTCTTACTACAGCCACCATAATACCTCAGAGTCTCTATGAAGTACTAACCCGACTTCATATGTAAAATTTGTTTTGGAGGGTGGATGAAAATAACAACTTCAAAAACGAAAATGAATCCCCATCCAATAAATGTCATAGAGGAAAGTTCATCAGAATAGTTACCATGAAAGTATTTATAGAAAAGGCAGAGGGAAGCTATGTTGCAGTCATGGAAAATGAAGTGAAGGCAAGATGCACTGTTATAAAAATAATTTATGCAATAAAAATGAAAATGTTGGAATTGGGTAAAAATTAGTATAAAAATTATTTGCAATAAAAATTACTATAAAAATTATTTATAATAAAAATTAATTTAAAAATTATTTATAATAAAAATTAATATAAAAATTATTTTCAATAAAATTTAAAATAAAAATTATTTATAATAAAAATTAAAATAAAAATTATTTGCAATAAAAACATAATATTAAAATTATTTATAATAAAAATTACTATAAAAATTATTTATAATAAAATTAATATAAAAATTATTTACAATAAAAAAATATTATTAAAATCATTTATAATAAAATTAATATAAAAATTATTTGTAATAAAAAATTAATATAAAAATTACTTGCAATAAAAAATAATATTAAAATTATTTATAATAAAAATTACTATAAAAATTATTTGCAATAAAAAATTAAAATAAAAATTATTTGCAATAAAAAATTAAAATAAAAATTATTTGCAATAAAGAATAATATTAAAATTACTTATAATAAAAATTAAAATAAAAATTATTTATAATATAAAAATTATTTATAATAAAAATTAAAATAAAAATTACTTGGTAATAAAAATTATTTGCAATAAAAATTAAATTAAAATTATTTCCAATAAAGAATAATATTAAAATTATTTATAAAAATTACAAGAAAAAATTATTTATAATAAAAGTTAATATAAAAATTATTTATAATAAAAATTTATATAAAAAATTATTTGCAATAAAAAAATAATATTAAAATTATTTATAATAAAAAATTAAAATAAAAATTATTTGCAATAAAAATTAAAATAAAACTTATTTGCAATAAAAAATTAAAACAAAAATTATTTGCAATAAAGAATAATATTAAAATTACTTATAATAAAATTTAAAATAAAATTATTTATAATATAAATTAATATAACAATTATTTATAATAAAATTAAAATAAAATTATTTGCAATAAACATTATTTGCAATAAAAATTAAATTAAAAATTATTTCCAATAAAAATTAAAGTAAAAATTATTTGCAATAAAATTAAAATAAAAATTATTTGCAATAAAAAATAATATTAAAATTATATGAAAATTAAAAACTTATAAAGATGGAAAAAAAAAAACCCACCAACATGAAGCCAGTTGGTTTATAAAATAAAAGTGAATCAAAATTCAAAGTGAATCTGCAAATTTGTTATTCCCCACCCCTGACGCCACCTTGCGTCAAAATGAAGCCAGTTGGTTATGAAAAAAGAATGAATAAAAATCTGCTAAAAAATTTGCCATTGACATCGCATATGCATGTGATGTGTTACCCTATATTCTGGGGTGAGACAATGTGTATTTCAGATACTGCTAGGTGTGCAAAGATGGCGGTGTGGATGATGTGAAATGGAAAGATTCTTATGATATGAAAGTTATTCTCATTAGGATCTGGTTGGATTCTTTTGGCATCAGCAGTGACACATGTTTTTTGTGAAACAGGGACTTCAGTTACAGAAGATTTGCTTTGAATCATAAAATAAAAAATGCAATGAAACTAAAACATTATTTAATTAGAAAAGCTTTTAATTACTTTATAAGAGAAAATATATCATGTACACTATTGCCTTAAGAAAAAAAATTGTTTTCATTTTTTTTAATTTTAATTATAAAAATCATGCACAACCCATAGAGTCCTGCATAATCACATACATAATCAAACATCTATCTATCATTTACTCAGGTGTCTCTGATGCCCACACAGTCCAGCGTAGACATAAGCACATAGATATCTCCTTCACCCTTTCAAGCAGGCGACTCAGTCACTTATGTGCCATGTGTGATACATGCTTAGGCGATCATGTATCTTTTGATACATGACTGACGAGGCAGATTTTTTCCCACGGTAGGTTGCAATTTCTTTCTGCGGTAGACCAGTTGCCATCCAAGGCTGTAGAACTTTTACCCACAGCTGGGGGGAGAAGAAGAGGATTCATACCTTTCCCAAGGGTATTAGCAAATGTAATGGATTTGACTGGAATTCAAACTTGACTCTCTAATTCCTCAATCTGAGCCACTATCCATTACTCCACTATGCCTCCACCAAGCAGGTGACTACTACGTCTAAATACACAAACATATGGTAGAAGAAAAAATGACAATAGGAAAATCATCTTAGTTTTTGCCGATGCATTTTGTCTTCTGACTTTATCAAGGCAAAATTGAAGCGAAATGTTTTTGTTTTCATAGTTACATTAAAATCCAAAATTTAAAAAAAGACACTTATGTTCAAACCTCTTTCTGGTTAATGTTAACTTACTTTATACTAAGAGTTTTTGTTTTTTTTTCATGTCGACAATATAATAAAATTCCCAGAGCAATTTTGTGGAT